AGGCCAGATTATTATTATTCCCGCCAAGTTAAACCCTCATACTTTACCGCCAGCATAAAAATACGGCCACTTTTCGATGTCCTTTCGGTGGCCGCATTAACATTGTTCAACCGAACATCCAAATCCATGTCAAGTTAGTAAGAAATAATAATTTTATCTCAAAAACAACTGAAGAAGTAAAATAGAATTGAATCAGTGCATGAGTTTTACCTATTGTTTTCATATTATTCAGTAAGCTATCTTGGTATAGCAGTACATAGTAAAGCATCAATAGCCGGCTTGTAAGGGATGATTTGGTGTCTTGCTCATTACCAATGTAAATTGATGGCCTTCTTACTAGAGTAGGTTGCGATTCTTTAGTACCCTATTAGTATACACAATAAAAATGAATGAAAAGTAAATTAAAAAATGGATGGGGAATGAAGTAAAAAAATGAATGAAAGTGAGTGAGCCAGTTAAATTAGTGGGAACTAAATAAACGAATGGAAAATGAAAGGAAGCTAATTAAATCCATCAGAAAATACAAGAAAATTAATAGCAGTTGGGTAAGTTGTTTAAGTTGGTGTCAATAAAAGCTTCATGACGGCATATAAAATAGAAAACAAGAAAATGAATGAAAGAGGTCATCATATAAAGAGTATCACCTTGAAGACTTCAAGAATTTCTGCTTCAGTAAAACGTTCTTGAAATGCTTTTCCAGTAGGATTGATGACAGTGCTGACAAACACATCAACAAGACTGGGAACCAGTGGATGTAGTGGAATGGTACAGTCACACAATTGTCTGTAAACCCAGTTCTGAAAAATATCAAAAATATACATTTTTTATTATATTAAAACACTCCTTCTTACAGGCTGAAAATATTTGTAAAATTACTTTAATTGTGATTGGCTGAAACAAGTGATTAAACGTTGGCTAAAAACATGTGGTAAGACAAAGTCCTTTTACTGGTTCTTATTGCAGAAGGAAAGAAATATGATGAATATAGTGAGTTGGGTCCCTGTGGCTATGGTTCAATTACCATTCTTGATAACACTATCTTCTTAGGCAATAGACACATTATTCTCTCAGTACTTCTCTACTTCACCAAGTGTATAAATAGATACCAGTATTTTCTGAGGGCAAAAAGACCCTTAAGCCTCAAGCTTATCAGAAATATAAATGTAACTGCCACTAGCTACCAAAATTAAAGTATAATCATTTGTTGATTATTTATACCAGCCAAGACAGCATGTAAGCATACTTTAGAATATGACTAAAAGCAGGAGTTACAGTGGCTCATTTCAACTACATATTTCAAGATAGATGTGTAAAACAAGGTCGAATATTTGATGGATTGTAAACAAATTATAAAAATTAAGTAATATACATGTACTACAAGCTAATAAAGATGGAGTTATTGTATATATATACTGTACCTTGACTGGTACATAGTGTTTTGTGAATGTTCTTGATTTAAGCAGCTGATGGATACAATGTATGGGAAGGAATCCAGTCACATGACCATTCAAGCCAGGAGTTACTGGTACTGTAATTGCATGACTTGTAATAACCTATCAAAACAAATGGATACATGATAACAATACATGTATTTAATTGCATGATTATAATATTTCTCCACAGATTACAGGAAAGTAAGTGTTACTATGAGTGAGTGAGTGAGTGATTTGAATGACTCCTTCATCCAAAATCGTATGCCAGATTCCCTTACCTTAGTTTTAGGAAATACAGTTAACTAAGATATTGTTGACTCCATATTAAAAAATAGTCAGTTTGAGATATATTCTTAAAAGAAATTTTTTGAATTTTTTCTGAAATATTTTCAATTTACCTTTTCTGGAAACAATTCTTGAGTAAAAAGGTGTTTTAGTCTATTAAGAGGACCAGATTTTATTTTGATAGATAGCAAAGATGATACAAGGTCAACAATGGAATACAGTTGGTTGCTATGGAAGTGGATGGCAATTAAAAGTAGGATTTCTCCAAATGATGCATGGACTCCACTGGCCGATTCATAATGCGATTCTTCTTTTGATAACCATCTTATCAAAGAGATTGCTCTCTGCTCATGTTCTGGTGAACTGTTGGGTAAAATTGAGAATTAGGTTTATATGACATGACAGGCTTCAGCATCTTGTCCAGTACTGAACACTTTTCTAAACATTTTCATATATTTGTTTTTTGTTTGTTTGTTTTTTTTGCAACCTTCAAATTCAATTCAAATTGCTCTACACTGTTGGATAGGTAAAAGCTGATATGACATTATTTCATAGACCCTAAGTTTTACCTATAGATTACTTTTAAATTGCATCGTTTTGGCCAAACAGTCTAGATTTTTTGATTGCTCTAAATTCAAGCCTTAAAGAATCATAACCACCCGTCATACCTTGTGCGCTCGTATTATTGTTTACATACATTTAAATGCGTCAAGCATACAATAAATTATAGATTGATAGTACCTGTAAGGTACTTAGTTAAAGGTATTTCTGTCCAAACTGAAAGGACGGAAGACGATTTGCGCTCACTTTAAGAAATCCTACAAATCCGCCATTTTCGTGTCCACCTAAAATGGCGCTTCGGTTCGCAAGGTACGGTGGGTGGTTATGATTCTTTAAAATATCTTATTTCCCAATGAAGGCAAATATATGTCACTATGAGAAAACAGTTCTCCTAAGAGGAGACATACAAGAAAGTTTATTCCAAAAAAATGCAAAATTAGTTTCATTGAAGTAATTAAAACTAACAGTTTAATGTTTGAAACAAAAGGAAAAACTTAAAGGGACACTGTCAATGGATGGCATTCGCAGTAACAGTCTTGCCTCTAACGGAATTTGAAAGTATAACCTTCGAGGTAAATCATTTTGTGGTGCTTTTGACACACTTTGGAATATTCTAGATCTGTTTACGTGTACGAGCTGATTTATGTCGCGCCAACTTGGAGTCATAAACTTGAAAACACTAGCCTAATGTTTTCAAGTTTACTCGCGCATGCATGCCATTGACAGTGTCCCTTTAATCAAACTACATGCTTGCTCTTGGAAAATGGCACTTTGTCAGTTTGCTAGAAGATGCTCCATTTCAATCCATACCTAAGAATTTGAGGACACGCAAGAAGAGTACACAGACCAACCAGCAGGAATCTAACACCTGCTGCTGTGGCTGGAGCTCGGCATGTTATCAGAGCCAAAACTGCTTCTGTTTCTTCAGGAGTGAACTTCATCCCAGCAATGTTCTTGAGAGCACAGTAGAGTTTTAACAAAGCACTCCCATGTATCACATTGTCTTCACTCATTTCTAATGGTTCAAAGGTCTCCACCCTGGGGTAAGGTTCAGATGGCTTTGCTTCTTCAACTATTTCAAAGTCTGTACTGACCTGCATGGCTTGAACAATCAAAACAAAAACAAGAGTGTTTAATCACAATTCAACATGTGATTATGCATGTGGTTGTAAAAATTTCATTTCAAGACAGATATTGTAGTGAAGAAATTCTGACAGTTTGCAGACTAAAAAGGTGAAATAAAAGATAATTATTATGTCTTTCTACTTTGTAAAGTGAGTATGGAAGAATCTTTTAATCATAACATTATTGCATGGTATTATTTAAACAACATGAGGATGGATCGTTGTGTGTTTATTGGTGAAATACAGCATGCGAGGATGTTGGAAAAACATGAGAAAATGCCTTGGCTGTGCAGCATTCCATCCTTTATTGCTTTTATGATAAAGAAAGTTAGTTATACTCATAAGCATGCATTTACTGGAGAAATCCAATCAGAGCATTTTTTTCAATGACAACAATGAGTATTTTGTCTGTAACAACAAGCAACTTTCATTTCTCATCAAGTTTTGTACCTTGTAAAATCTCCATTGTTTCTTTATCTTGCTGGGTTTCTTCAATGTGTGTTGATTGAATCATAACTTCATGCTTTTTTACTCTCTTTGGGACGAGAGCTAAAGTATCTTTTAATAGTTGACTCCTCAGTGAATGTAAAATGGAGCTTGATGACTGCAACCAGAAATAATAGATGCTTAGGTTAAAGCTACAGTACTAATATTACATGTACATATATTTAAAAGATATGTAGTTGTACAAGTTTTAAAGCTACTACTACATGTATGGTAAAATGTGAACAGTTTTGAAAAGTATCTTCACAGCTCCCTGTGTCATCTTGTAAGGTAGCTGTGCCTTTGCATCAAAGTGAGATGACAGTTAAGTGTGCAATGATAGACATTAATTATTCACAGGTATCTTATCTAACTTAACCTCGAAAGCATGTAATATACTATTTTATTCAGCAGATATCCTATTGTAATGCAAACAGTGACTCTGTATACAAAGAAGACAATAAAAAATTATTGATCGAAGCTAAGCCTGCACAAAAGAGAATTTGAAACTGGAGTGTTGAGACTGATCTACACTTAGGTTTTACAGTCACCTTTTGTCCAATCTTCACAAACTCTGCAAACCAATTCCTTGTTTTCAAATCACTACTGAGTATTAAACCAGTCAAAAAAGCTGTAAGGTTCCCCTGGTCAATCCCAGAGTCGTACCCAAAATCAAGAGCAAGAACTACTGCTAATCCAGGGAGACAGCATTGGCGTATGGCTTCAGCTTGCATAACCATTGCATAGGAAGGATTCATTGAGCACAGTTGTCTTAAAGCTTGTGTCCTCACCATTCCGCCAAGACTGTTGTCATCTTGGACTTCTCCATTTGAAAGTAAAGCAGAGCAAACTACAAAGAATAAGACAGAATATTTTACACTTCTATCAGAGCTTACTCTTGTCAAAACAATGGATAGATTAGCATTTGAGCCATTAGACAAGTCCTTATTTATTGCCCCATTAAGTTTTTTTTTTCATTACCCTGTATTGAAGAAAATGTACACAAAATACACAAAATTTTTACCTTGCTCAAATTTATCAGGAACATTAGCAACTAATCGGCATAGTAACCAAGATCCATATTTGACTCGTAATAACGTTTCTGCTAGCTGTTCTAATGGTAGCAATGATGGTAGCTCTGCTTGAGCGATGCAAATCACATCAGAGACTTCCTCAAGGAAAACTTCACATTGAAAGAGTTCAGACGTCTCTGGCATGTACTCTTCTTTTAAAGATACCTTGAAAAAGATTTAGATCATCACTATTACATGTATATTATTATCATTGTCATCATTATCATAAATTTGGAGCCTGCATCATTGTTTATTTTATATCAAACTAAATACCAAAACTAGGAGAATTGACATTGGGTAGTTCCAGAAAATAACTGTACCATACGACGGGCGGCATTTCGGAAATCCAGAGGGGAGGGGGGGTCATTGATTTTGGAATTCCAAAGGGGAGGGGGACTGGACAATTTCGGAAATCCAAAGGATGGGGGAGGGGAATTAAAGACTGTATATTAAGTCTTATAGAAAACAACCTTCGACACCTTCCACCGGGACTTCGTTGATCACGATCTAAGAGTTGAAAAAATCACTATAAAAACGTTTGGAAACCACGACAAAAACATCTAAAACTGTAAATTAGTGCAAAATACGTAAATTGAAAACAATGCCGCTTATTTTCGAGTCATTTTAACAAAGTTCTCTAGGCCAGCCACCGCTGGCCGCCCCATTGCCGGATTAGCTCGCTAGTGGCAATTAATTCATTTAAAGATTAAAGATAAAGCATCACGTGGGTCCGTGATCGGCGATTGTAAACAACATATGTTCAGTGGTTTCTTGAGAGAAATTAATGGCGTCTCGGTCGTCTTGGTCGCAGATCACCATGCGTTGTTCGTTTTTTTTTTCTTGCGAGTCTCGTTTCTTTGAACACCTGTTAATAGAAACTAACTATACTAGGTAAAAGATAAGTAATTCCAACAGCAATGATTTTTGCGTGTTTTTAAGCACTTCCACAAAGCTAGACGATGCATTGTTTTCGAACGATCTGACAGTTTTACGATTGCGTTCTCTTAAACAGTTCTTGTTTTGGAGAGAATAGTTATATTATAAGGGGGAAAATTACTTTCCTAGGGGAGTAAAGCACGGTTTTGGAATTCCTAAGGGGAGGGGGGATACCCAATCTAAGAATTCCTAAGGAGAGGGGGGGTCGAAAATCGATGCCACCCGTCGTATGGTACAGATATTTTCTGGAACTACCCATTTCAACAATTTCAAATTCCTTGGTTTTTCCCCAAAAGAGATCTGATAAAAAGATGATTTCCTTTGATTTAAGCATTCATTTTCCTCACATTGACCGTTCTGTAAAAATAGTGCTAAACCTGCAGCTATTATGTGTTAATTACCTGGCTCCCCTTGTGATTGTAAGGGGGGTAGGCGCCTGGCTCCCCTTGTGATTGTAAGGGGGGTTAGGCGGGGGGCAGGATTTCACTTGTCAGATGAATTGACATACCTTATTCATGATCCTCAAGAGTTCACTGAGAATTAACCTCAACCTCCGAGAAGGTTCGCTCCTCTCAAACTCCTGAACGAGTTCACTTTGTAAAGATTCAACAAGAATTGAGGCAGCTCCTGCACTGCCTCCGACTTTTCTTCTCAGTTCTTGCTCTTTGATCGCGTCTTGCTCCAAAAGACTAAAATCCACCGAAAGTAGTGCAACAATCGAATTTACAACCTCTAAACCGGAGAGTATCTTCTGAATACCTTTCCTTCCAACTGTCCACGAAAAACTTTGATCAACTGGTGAACAAAGGGCCATGCGAACAAGACAAGGCAACAGAGGACGAAGCTGCTTTGTGCTGAGCGAAGACAGCTCACCAACACTAGCAGATCGTATGCTGCTAAATGCTTTGGGACTAGGAACATCCTGCCAGATCTGCATGTTGAATTTTCGTCGTCTTCAAGTTTTTAGCTATTGGTTTTATTTACATGCATCTCGAACAGATGATTATTGAAGGCAAAACGTTTGCTATTACTTTTCACACGTTCCATCCGCCATTTTCTTTGTAGTTTCCAGTCCCACCAGAGTCGCGAATGGACTTGTGGGAAATTCCTACTGACTATGGCATCTGTGGCATTGCGTGGAAATTATATGTTGATGATGCTAAAAATTGATGGAGTGGTGGACGTAAGCCAGATGGACTTGTATGTATGACGATTATTTTTTCGTTTCGATATTTTTTTTATTTTTTTTATAATTATAAATTTGCTTTCAGTTACAATTTGGGCTCCCTTTGCACCCATTCCCGTCGACCCTCACTGCTTGCCGTCAAGAACGCCTGGTAAATTTTGATATTTTCACTCCTTTTACTCAGCACGCTTTGATTTTGATCCACGAGTTGCTCATTTAAAAAGTATTCATGGAGTCAACAAACTGGCAAACCACTCTTTCAACTCCCAAGGAACGGTTTGAGTATGTTTTCAAGAATTCTTTATTTTGCGATGTTGAGTTTTCTGTCGTAGATGAATCTGGCATCAAGGTCACCATTCCCGCCAATAAATTCATGCTTGCCACAGCGAGTCCTGTGTTTGCTGCTATGTTTTATGGTCATTTGGCAGAGAAAACATCAACTATTGACTTGCCAGACTGTAGCAAACAAAGCATTTACGAAATGCTTCGCTACGTGCACTGTGAAGAAGTTAGACTTACTGAAAATAACATTATTGAAGTTCTGTACGTTGCTGAAAAATACATGATGCCGTATCTGGTTGAGAAATGTAAAGAATACATAGATAAATACCTTAAACCGGAACATGTTTTCACTGTTCTTCCACTAATCAAAGAAATGCGTGATGACGAGACTGAAAAACGCTGCTGGGAAATCATAGATTGTGAAACCTTGGCAGCAGTTAACTCGAAATCATTTTTGCAATTGTCCAGTGATACCCTTTGTGAAATTCTATCAAGAGATCAGCTTACAATAAAGGAAGTTGATTTGTTTCTTGCTGTAGACAGATGGGTAAGCAGGAGAATTGCAGAAAAGGAGCTTGAGGGATGTGGAAAAACAAAGAGAGATGTTCTTGGAGAAGATGCCATTAGATTGATTAGATTCCCATTGATGTCTCATAAGGAGTTTGCTCAGTTTGTGCTGCCAACTGAAGTCCTAACAATGAAAGAAGTCATTGAAATTGCTCAGGTTATGAGTTCTGTTGAAACAGCTACATGTATGTTTTCTTCTAAGGGAAGAGCCACCAGAAAACAGAAAACTGATATCCGGTTTTCATCTATTAATGCTCCTGGTAATGGATCATGGTGGTATGATGGAAATCGAGTAGATGTACTTGACTTTGTTGTGAGTCAAAGTGTTTGTCTGGCTGGTGTTGAGCTGTTTGGAAGTAAGGGTTCTAGTTATGCTATTCGGCTAGATCTCTACGATGGTTCTGAATTGATCTCAAGTGTACAATCAACTTCTGAAACGCAAAAGGAAAATTTGAATGTGCAAGGAATTGAATATTATGGATTTGATGTCTATTTTGACAGACCAGTAAGGCTATCTCAAGAATGCCGCTATACTGCCAAGGCTACAGTGAAAGGCCCGCTTTCCTATTTTGGTTCTAGTGGCAAAAGCCAGATTCATCATGACGATGGCCTTTTTATTAAATTTATTGACAACACCATGAATGGTCATACCTCTATGAACCGAGGTCAGTTTGGAAGATTTATTATTTTAAAGAGGTTTTGAAAGTAGACATTTTTGAGTAACAAGCCTTGCCGCCATGGATAGCCAAGCAAAACTTTGTCTCATTTAACCAAACAGAAACTACCTAAATTCTGCTAAAACTATCAGTTTATTACAGTGTGTTGTCACTTTCAAAGACTTTTTTTGTTGTTGTTGTTTTATTGTTGTGGCCCTCAATTGCCACCTACTATTATCGCTAACATTATTATCTTTGAGTTTGGACAATCATTTTACAATTTTTGGCTTTTTTCACTAGCATTTCAGAACATTAAGGTTTTTATTACAATATTTATTATTTATACATTTTAAAATATTATGTATTTTATCTAGATAATATTTTATATTTGACTTTGCTATCAGTAATGATTTTTACTTAAGTCTTATTCAGACTATTTATCATATTTTATTTTATTACAATTAAAACTATATTTATATAATTATTTACTATTTGTATTTTATTATTGTAAAAAGCATTGCTTACTTGCTTTAATGACAGGTGAATTACATATTTATTATTTATTATTTTTATAGCYGATTATTTAGAAAATTTCAACTGTGATTAATAAGCCCCAACCAGTGTGTAATATCAAAACACTATAAGTTGGAATGCTTGTGAAGCATCTAGGACTTTTTGGAATACATGTACAGTATGCAGTCATATCATGTTGTAGAAATTACTGGCCAGTAACATAGTCGTTATTGTAACTATGGGACCTATCATATATTTTAATTCAATTTCATGTTTTATCATTACTTATTTGTAGGTACTTATACTTCAAATTCTGTGTTGATTATCTACTTCTAAGCTTGTGTTCGTTTAATTAGACATTAAAATCTCTTTAMAATTAAGTCTGACCATGAATTTACTATATAATCCTCATGCATGCTAGAAAATATTATTTTCGCGAGTATGTATGAGTGCGCAGATTGAAAGCACGAGCACGCGGTCTTCCTGTGCTATTCTAATTTTACGTCATGAAAAACGTCATCAAGTAGATTATGATRTCACAAACGCTAATTGAAACCGGGATTGATTCAGATTTCACTGAAGCAACACGCGTTTTTGACTCACCTAGAGAAAATTATTTCACATCAATTAGTATACAACTTTACTGCACTGTTTGGCCATGGGATGTGCGCAAAGCAAACCCATGTGTCAATGCTTTGGCAAAAAGAAGAACGTACCAGAGGTAAAAACTGCGTTATTTTTCACGTGCACTTTTCATTTCAAAAATTCCATTCCATTCATTCCATTATCTTCTTACTTATCGCAGCTACAGCACACTTTACTTTGTCTTTTATAAGTAGCTCTTAGGTATGACTGCTGCATTTGTTGATCTAATTTGATATTATCTGGTYGTAGGTCTATAGAATCCCATCATGCACCACTGAGGTAAGATGMCTAGCCATCATATCATTATATATCAGAACGCAAGCAAAGTCAATAAGTACGCAAAAGGGTTAAGGCGGGAAACACGGCGCTCAAAGGAAAGGATGGCATTGAAGCGCAGCAAATTGTTTCATTTCATAACGTTGTATGACAAGATCGGTGCGTGAGCGCTTTTAAATTCAGCACGCAAAATGCGACAAAGTACTGCATAGCTCTATACCACGCGAGATATATATTTTTGCGCATGGCCGTTACAATTAAGTGAGGGACTACAGTATGATATATCGAGCACCAGTTGTATAGCTCAGGACRGGGGCTTCAAGTGAAAAACACAACAAGACTCATAATAAATTCAAACGATAGTTAAAATGGTAAAAATAAAGTGGAAAAGTCGCGAATTAAATCAGGYTATTTTTAGATTTCTGAAATCCTAGCCAATCATTAGACGCTGAGCTGTGGCATCCGCTGATTGGATAAAATAATTCCAACTATCAAATAAACTCGGAAAAAGAAAGTCAGGCTTTATAGAAGGACGGCAAAAAAAAAAAGACATTTTCGAAGATTTTTCAGATGGAAATCATATTCTTAACGTGATTGTTTGTTCTGAATTGAGAGTAGAAAACGTGCTTCAAAGTCAGGTTCACTTGTTGAAAGTTAAATCGCGTCATGAACTTCTGAATTCAACCTATGTTAACGTTATTGTTGTTGTTTTCAATTCTTTTCTTTTTAATCCAATAACTAGATTTATCCTTACTCCTAGAAATTTCAGATATACCTTAAACAACAATAGGATCATTTCTTGTAAATTTGCATTGCAGGCTTCTCTTGAGTCCCTTGAGCGAGAAATCTTACGATTTAAGGCAAGACAACAACAAGCAGCTCGAAGGAGAAGCAATTTTAGTTTAGGTAAGCTATTTTTGATGCTTACTATTAAAAATATTATAGTTCATAATTATTGCAACAAAGAAATTATCGTTTTAAAAAAGAGAACGAGCGTCCCAACTGACCACGTGACCCCGACACAAATTCGGGAGACTAGAGCGGATTTCGTATGAATGTGCAAAAAAAAAAAAAAAACACGGTAAGTTCGTGCTGTGTCCGTACCGTGCCGTAGCCGTGATGCATTGGAAAATCTTTACTTTCATTTGAAATCCTAGAAGGCGAGATTCCGTGACCGTG